CAGAAATCAGCAAAATAAAGCATAAAAAGCTTAAATTAGCAAAAATAAGTTGATAGATCCCCCCCCCCCCCCAAAGTTTAAATTAATAGAAGAATAGCTGAAAGTAGCACAAAGATAGCTACATTTAGCAAAACAAGAAGATGGAGGCGGAAATTCTTGCAACAAAGAAGTTAAAAAATAAGCAGAATCAAAACAAAAGTTAAAAAGGAAAGTTTCGTAAGCATTTTAAAGTGTTTTAATGATGTTGCAGATAACACTATTCATTTTCAATCAGAAAATAATGAAGGAAAAGCTAAATGACTGAAATATCAAAATAGCAAGCATGGCAAATATGAGCTACAAGTTTTGATATATGAATTGTGGTGCGCTCAAAAGCATTCACACAATAATCTAAATGGCTTATTGTTTGTCATAATTGTAGACGCACCATAAAATAAAATTGTAAAAATAAAAATTATCATTAAAAAGCACACATTTTCTTGTCTCACAAATCTCTATATTGAAATATTTTTCAGACAAGGTTTGAAGCTTGACTATTATTTTTGAACAAAAACAGAAAAAAAAAATTTTTTATATAGTTTACATGTTAATTATTAAATCAAATAAAATTTTTTAACCTGTTTCTTAAACTCCAAAAGACTTCAGGAGAAAAATAAGTTTAAAAACACGTCATGTTTATTCCAAAAGGAGATGGGGGATGCAAGCAAACAGAGGGATGGAGACAGTGTGTGACTGACATCTAAGAAGCAGCAGTCATTATGTCGTTAAAGCTGCACATCAAGTGTTATTTCTGGAGGTGTGACTACGCATACATTGTGAAACAGCCTCATGCACACAGAAAACAGGCCCCCCAAAATTGTGCTTGACCACTCTCTCATCATCAGCTATTAAATTAATTTCAAGCCTGAGAAAAAAATATGGTTTTAAAACTAATAAGGCAGCAGAAAGTGGCAACGGCAGCTGCATCTGTGATTACTAACTCAGGAGCAACAATAACACAAGGAAATTATTATGAAACAGCGTGTGCAAAAGAAGCAACTCTGAGGGTGAAAAAGCAACATTTAGGTAATTAAAGCATTTGGGTGAAAGCAACGAAACAAAACTATATGAGGGAAGATGAACACAACACCTGCTCAAGACTTTTACAAAAGTAAAAACCAACAAAAAAGATAACTTAATAACTTTACATTTTTTACAACATTTCCATAATAATAAGATTTAATTTGTGCCATTCTTGTGTCCCAATAGCAAAAGCTTTAGAAAGTTGTGTGGTTTTAGACGTCTGAGCAGTCTGAATGTCAGATTTGTATCTGTTTGGTCAAGTTATGGTTGATCRCTGCTGTTGCTCTGAATCTGCATGTTGAAGAAAAAAAAAATGAAAAGCAGTTGCAAAGTTTAGTTTTAAACCTGAAACCTTTGGTTACTTGTTGATTTAGTAATCCTCAGTTCTGTTTATTTGAGTCTTTAAAGACGATCCACCACTTCCTGTCCTTCTGTTTGAGTTCCTCCCTAACTCAGATACAAATAAAAAGATACTAAAACTTTCATTCAGCTCATATCAATAAACATCTCTGGAGGTCATGGGGGGTCCTGGTCTGGCTCCCCTGGAGATACGAACAGAGTTGGTTCTGGTTTTAAACACACTGTAACAGAGAGGGGCTCAGACCCTCTTGGCTGTGAAGTAAGGCCAATAGGACGGCCAGCAGAGTTTGATTCTCTCTGTCAAGGAAGAGAGGAGACCGTGAAAAGTGTAAATACAGCACTTCCTCCTCCTCCTTATGGTTTTCATTCTCAGCGGCATTTTTCTGCCATCATGTGCATCTTTTCCCCAATCATGCTTTGTCAAAAGAAATGCACATCAAAATGCACAAAGATATGAGTGCAATCTACAAAAACAAAACAAAAAAAAAATCATGCGTGGTGACAAGCGTTAAATATTTGAGGGTTAACGTGATTGCTCAAATCTTTTGAAGTGGGGTTCTGCAGATGAAATATGAGTAATTACCATGTTACTTGTTGTAGATATAGCTGTTTGAAGAGTTTAATTCCYACCAGACTGACAAGCTAACAGGAAAATGAAGAGCTGCCGTCCAATTTTAAAGAATTCCAAAGCTCTTTATAAATTTCACATTACTCAGTTATTTACATCGATTTTTACTTAGATGTGTAAAAACCAGTAGCAACTTGCTGTAGCGCTTCTGGTGCAGCCTGCGTTTTGACCSTTTTTGAATATAATGTTTTTATAAACTACTACAACGTTTTTGACATTGGAGTCGCCAGATTAGCTGTTAGTTTGTTAATCTAGTCAGCGTTAATCTGGTCAGTATTAAACTATATTTCTACAAACTGAAGCTGTTCAAAGAGCAACATGAAACATATTCATCGGTTATAACTTTTCCAATGATCCACACCTGAAAAGATCTGAACTGTCCCATAAAGTCTGAGAACGCTAAAAAAAACACAACATAATTACAGTTAACACAGTTCACTGTAGGGCTAAAGTACGTAAGAACAAAGTAATTATGACCTTAAAGATGCAATCAAGACTGCTCTTTGCTGCATAAAACAATCTTAAGCTCTTTTGCTTGCTGATTGTTGCACAAAACAAACAAAGACAGGCAGACCTAAAGCAATGATTAAAGAAATCAACAAATCCTCAGCAGGACGTGAACACATGGGCCTCCAGGCTGAATCAGGTTAGCTGGAAAGGGTGAGTCAGTGTTGGACGACGATGGAGGCGAGGGGGGCATGCGAGGAGGGAAAAAGGYGAGGGCGACGGATGGGACCAGAGGTGCGAACTCTGAGACGACAGCCTCTCTTGAATTAAGTTGATCTTATTTGTCATGGGAACATCACTTCTATTTTCTTTTCATTACGAGACCAATCTCTTCACAAATCCTTCCAAACAGCAGTGGAATAACTGCTTGTTTGTTCTGCATGGCCTCGGAGGAGAGCTTGTAATCTGCAAGGAGGTCCACAGGATCCACTTTGTTGTTGGGATCAGTGCTCGCTTCTTTTATTTCACTCAATTYGGAAAAATCACTCTGTTGTTTTCTTTGTTGAAATGTATATTTTATATAGATTATTCACAAACACGGTGCTGCCAATAAAATGTCATTCCAATAAATAAACAACTTTTTTTTTTGTCTAAAATGAAAACAAGAGCCGATGTTTTTATGTCCCGGTTTATTTGACCGGACAGGTGAGTGATGAATTATGCAACAACCTGGCACGTCTCTGCACGACTCAGCTCTTTTRCTGCTTAATTGTCCTTTCCACGCGCAGCCTGGTTCAGATCAGCCCTGACAGTGTGCGCTCTGCAGACGTACAGAATTACCCTCTGTGTACACGTGAAACTCAGGGCTCTGTTCAGTTTTCCTGGATGTTTTTTTTTTTTTTTCGAAAGATCTGTTAGACTGCTCAGATGGACTGTGATTTGAGGCCGGAATAAGATCGGCCTTGAATTATCAAAAGAAGGGATGGATTAAAAAAATGCTGATTGCTGGTTACAAGATAAATGGCACCACTGGAAGATTTTGTGATTTTATCATAGTAACAAAAGAGTGACTGGTTTTAATATCTCCATGCTGCATCAGACTCATATTATTGATCAAAACCCTCTGAAAATGTGTCCAGCATTCAGCAGTGAATATTCATCTATGCTGCCTCAATGACAGAGATAATCCCATCTTTTATCGAATCATAAGTAAATCCCTAGTGTTTATATTTAAGCTCAAAGTGAAGAACTAAAAAAACAAAAAAAGGATGCAGAGTCAGGATTCAGATCAACACAGACAAATCCAAAGTGGTGTGCTTTGGGATTACATGCACTTTTACAACACAATTTCTTTAATTATAATTTTTTTTGTTAAAAATTAAATTTATTTCATTTATATAATTGGCCCCAACTCCAGTGCTTGAAGTGCCTGCTTGTCCTTCAAATACAAAATCTCAAAGAAAGCATCTTTATATTTAAGAAACTTGGCATTATACACCCAGTTATCCCCATTTTGTCACATATCTGGCACATTTTCTTTTGAACTTGGATCAAACAAAGTGCAACAGGAAGTGATATCAAAGGGGAACTCTTTAAGAAAAATAACCCCCTAGTTTGTTTATTGAAACTATATTATTTGAACTCTGACTCTTATCTTTCAGATAGTGACTCAAAATGATCTAAAGAAACATCAGATTCTGCTCTACAGTTCGTATATTGTACTAATGCTCTGTTCATATTCAGAAACCCCACTTTGATATCACTTCCTGTTACTGCACATGTAAATATTTATGATTTTTGTTTGTAATATGTTATTAATGTTATCTTTCCAAAAATGCAGTCATATTTATTACAAACATTTGATGTCACAGACTGTTACTGAAAAAAACGGACACTCTGGGACTGAATTATTACACATTTAGTTCATMTAGTCATTTTCTGTACCTGTTTATTCCTGTTCAGGGGCCAAAGCCTGTCCCACCTGTCAACAGAAAAAAGGTGGACAACTCACCGATTCATCAAGTCTGACAACCATTCACACACACTTATTCTCACACATAGGGTCCACTTAGAAGCTCCARTTAACCGGACATGCATGTTTTTGGACTGAGAGGAAACCAAGCCCTGCATCAAACAAATCGCTCACAGACAAGYCCTTTATGCTGTTAGACGACAGCACATTGCAGCATCCTGCATCTGAGAACAACATTTGTGGCCAACTTTTAGAATAGGTTGCCACTAGTTGTTGATCCAAAGGTTCAAGCGAAATCAAAAGTTAATGACTTTGAATTTCTTCATCAATCTATTTTGACTTTTCCAAAATGGGTCCACAGCTTAATTTGTCACTAGAATCAATTRCACATCTGCTTCCTGAGTTCATTATTTTGCAGCTGTACATCAGAGATGCATCAGTTATCTGTGACATGGTATACTTTATATACATCTCATCACATTTTTGTTAGAAAGTGTGTGTTTGATCTCTGCAAAGAGTCCTTGGGATACCTTCCTGTCACAACAGCATGTGTGAAAAAGAYGAACATGAGCCACTCTTTCTGAAATCACCAGGGTGGAACTGGAAAATGTCTGTTTTGAAAAATAAATCCAGAGCTTATCTTGTGAGTAAATCAAAGAGATGTTTTGAACATTATGTTCGCAATTATTGTCTGTGGGCTTTGAGGCTATCCAGCTCGTCTGCCTTTTTTCCCCTTTTAAACAATCTTATACCCCCTCTTTTTTTTTCTCGGTCCGAGCCTGGCTTTTAATGTAACTGCAATCAACCACAACAAGATTTTTGAGGCCCTGCGTTCATCCTTTAGAAATCCCACCAAACGTGAGTAGTATTGGAATTCCGGAGCACCATGCCAACCGTGAAGCCTCCCTGCCTCTCACATGCACTGTGTGGAGGTGCAATTTTCCTCCGGCTGGAGATCCCAAAGCTGCCTCACCTGGAACCAATCTGTAACACAATCGAAGAGTCCTGACTTGAAAGCCCGTTCCTTCCCTTTGATAGTCTCTTCTTTGGTAGCCTGCACGGTGCTGGAAATAGGCCTTTTGTAATCTGCAGATACAAAAGAGCCGCGGATTGAGACAAGTATTCACCCATCAAAGTGCATTATGCAAATAATCTAGAAACAAAGCTCAGAGACTCTTTTATTTTCCTGTCTTTTCTCAGCGCTGAAAGGGACACTGGACTGCTGTTGGAAGATTTAAAGCATTCTTGACATCCTTTGTGGATTATGCCATGTTTTTCCTTTTTCCTTTAAGAAATGATATGCTTATTCTTATAACAACTGGCCACAGTAAAAAAAATAATAGATATAATTATCCTTGTTAATAAACACATTTGTTTATTAAACTGGCTCTATTTTAAAGTTCACGTTTTCACGTAGGCAAAAAGATCCTTTTAAAAACATGTCTGTCCATCTGGGCTCTTGGGAAATTTAACCCTAAATCAACATGTCGAATCATATTTCCTTCCTTCACTTCTCTTTTAGACATGTGCTCCCTTGAGCAAAATTACATATAGACTATTTCATATACTGGTGTCATTGGTTCCTGTAGAAGTTGTGCAAATTCTTGTGTTGCTAAAAATCACAATAGATAACAAGAAAGAAACATTGTAGTAAAAATGACATCCTATACTGTAATGGAAGGAAGGAAGGAAGGAAGGAAGGAAGGAAGGAAGGAAGGAAGGAAGGAAGGAAGGAAGGAAGGAAGGCATTCGTAATATTGACTCTCTTCTTACGTTCAAATCACAACTCAAAACTCATCTGTTCAAGTTAGCCTTCTCACTTTAATTTCTTATTTTCTTTTAATTTTAGTGTTTTTATTGCCTTTTTATTGTTAATGTTGTGTTTTTAATGTTGTAAAGTGTCCTTGGGTGTTTTGAAAGGCGCTAACAAATAAAATGCATTATTATTA